CCCCGGAACCTGAAGATCTGGAAGATCTCTACAGCAGATATAAGGTTTATCACAGGAGTGTTTGTCTGAGACTTCACTGTAGAACTGGAGGGTATTATTGCTAGGTGTGCACGATGATATCAACATCATATCACTATCAGCAGATAAGTGCTTCAGTGAAACACGTATAGCGTTGGACAGATGCTTAAATTTGATTGGTGTTTGTATTAATTATAATTTTTATTATTATTTGTATTGATTGTGCAGATTGTTGCTGTAGTGATAACAAATGAAAGCTGAAATCTAAATGGCTGAGATTTCCAAACAGCATACTAGCTCACTAAATAGTGTGTAAAAATAGCACGTATCTCATTAGAAGAGCACTCATTAGTGTAGTAGCTGAAGTACAGAAGTGTGTGGTTTGGGACGCAGCGTTAGATCAGCCAGAGAGACGAGTCCAGCAGCTGCTCTGCTGTGCTGCTCATTAGCTGCTTGTTAAACACTTCTAAGAGAAAGACTGAGGGGTTTGTTGATTAAAGATGCATCTATTGAGGTAAATTGATAATTTATTGAGAAGCTGATGTTGGGTTCATATTTGCCAACCTTCGTAATTCACTCCACGTTTAAGGCGCCTCAGTGTAACTGCAGCGCCATTTAAGGCAGAACGAAGAATTCTAATGAGAATCTGGTGAATAGAAGCTTCAGCTTTATATCTGTGTATGGGTTTATTATTTAAGAGCTTTGGCAGTTTTGGTGCCACTTTAATTAGTTCTTGTAAAATCTCACACTGGAATGTTCTGAACTCTGTAGATGTGCTGGTTATACAGATCCACCAATCAGCTGATCTTCTGGAGATGCAGCTAAAGTGTCCACATATCTGTTCATATTTCATTCTGGTCTATTTTGCTTGGTGTTTATCCACCTGCAGGGCTGTATCTGCAGTAATGGAGATGAGACAAGCTCTGTCAGAGCACAGTCAGGGTTACGGCTCACCTACCAACATGGAGATGTGCTTTTCTTAATGATGCAGTCGAATACTATCAATTGGCATCGGCCCACAATTCCAATTTCCATGCGTCGCTGTACGGCTCTACCCTGTAGACTGATTGCAGTCTGTATTATTTGTGCTGTAGAAGTTGCAGCAGGAGCTGGAGTTCTTGGAGGTGCAGGAGGAGTACATTAAAGATGAGCAGAAGAACCTGAAGAAGGAGTTCCTCCATGCTCAGGAGGAAGTGAAGAGGATACAGAGCATCCCTCTGGTCATCGGTCAGTTCCTGGAGGCTGTGGACCAGAACACTGCCATTGTGGGATCCACCACAGGTAGGTATTCTCAAGATTCACCTGGATTATTTTGGGGCAGTTGAGAATTACTGTATAAAATACACCCTGAATTAACAGCTGTAACTATAGGTATCTACACTAGAGGTATAGATAATACGTTTTACATTTTCCAACATTTAAAAATGATGCTGATTTTACTTTGGTCAAAAAAAGCACATACTATATTAAATAGTATTATAGTTGTCAAATTAAATTACTGCCTTAAAATCAGTGCATCAAAACTCATTTTTACTCATGTTCAGTATGGAATTATGAGAAATGCTAGTAGGGAAAATTCATCTTAGCGTTATCTTAGCTTTCTTTTCCTGGCATCAATGTGCCCGTTCCTTCCAACACTCAGTAGATATTTATCTAAATGTAAAAATATGGTAATGTGTAATAGTACAAAGCTAATTGTGTTCTGTTTCAGGCTCCAACTACTATGTACGAATCCTGAGCACTATAGACAGAGAGCTGCTGAAGCCCAATGCCTCAGTGGCTCTGCATAAGCACAGCAATGCCTTGGTGGACGTTCTGCCCCCAGAGGCGGACAGCAGCATCATGATGCTCACCTCAGGTAAATGCACATACAGCAGAATACATACGTTAAACGACAAGTAAATATATTTTTCTCTTTTTCCATTTAACTGCACAAGCACATTTGCAGTATTTTTACTGGATTAAAATCGCTTCACAATTATTACTGTCAGACTGTAAAACTACACACTGCAGATTCATACTGGATTAAAATCGCTCCACAATTATTACCATCAGACTGTAAAACTACACACTGCAGATTCATACTGGATTAAAATCGCTCCACAATTATTCTCTTCACAATTATTACTGTCAGACTGTAAAAACTACACACTGCAGATTCATACTGGATTAAAATCGCTCCACAATTATTACCATCAGACTGTAAAACTACACACTGCAGATTCATACTGGATTAAAATCACTCCACAATTATTACCGCCAGACTGTAAAACTACACACACTGCAGATTCATACTGGATTAAAATCACATATTATATCCGTAATCATTTAAATTCTAATACCTCCACAGGTAAAACCAAAGGGCTGCTGATTGTGTGATGCTTGTTTGTTCTCACAGATCAGAAGCCGGATGTCATGTATGCTGATATTGGTGGGATGGACATACAGAAGCAGGAGGTGCGGGAGGCCGTGGAGCTGCCCCTCACACACTTCGAGCTCTATAAACAGGTGTGTGTGTGTGTGTGTGTGTGTGTGTGTGCGCGCGCACGCAAACCTGCAAAAATGGGTGTTTTTAGTGGTCTGATCTAGGAGTAAGGAAATACACCGATCAGGCATTACATTATGACCACCTCCTTGTTTCTATGCTCATTGTCCATTTTATCAGCTCCACTTACTATATAGGTGCACTTTGTAGTTCTACAGTTACAGACTGTAGTCCATCTGTTTCTCTGATACTTTGTTAGCCCCCTTTTACCCTGTTCTTCAGTGGTCAGGACCCCCATGGACCCTCACAGAGCAGGTACTATTTGGGTGGGGGATCATTCTCAGCACTGCAGTAACACTGACGTGGTGGTGGTGTGTTAGTGTGTGTTGTGCTGGTACGAGTGGATCAGACACAGCAGTGCTGCTGGAGTTTCTGAACATTGTGTCCACTTACTGTCCACTCTATTAGACGCACCTGCGTTGTTGGTTCACACTGTAGGTGTAAAGTCAGAGACGATAGCCCATCTCTTGCTGTACAGTATGAGCTAATCATCCTGTAGTCCATCAGTGGTCACAGGACGCTGTTGGCTGGATATTTTTGATTGGTGGACTATTCTCAGTCCAGCAGTGACACTGAGGTGTTTAAAAACTCCAGCAGCACTACCACTGAAGAACAGGGTAAAAGGGGGCTAACAAAGTAGAGAAACAGATGGACTACAGTCTGTAACTGTAGAACTACAAAGTGCACCTATATAGTAAGTGGAGCTGTTAAAATGGACAATGAGCGTAGAAACAAGGAGGTGGTCATCATGTTATGCCTGATTGGTCTATGACATTTATTATAACTTGTGTTAAAAGCAGGGTCTCCATTCAAACGCAGATTTTAAGCAAATAAACTCTGTAAAATGAAATGCAAATTAATCACGGTTTCCATCTGATATTGTTCTTTGCAAATGACACACTTTCACTGCACAGCGCAAAGCTGGAGTCTCTTATGTGGGTTCTATGTGCAAGTTCACTTGATTTTGTTTAGCAAAAAAACATTTACTTCTATTTTGCATCAGGAATGACCCTAGACTTTGCAGGCACAGGCGCACATGATGGGTGGTTGAAGTGGGAGGGTGCAGGCATTAATATTCAAGCTTGTGCAGACCTCCAGTAGACACGGGCACAATTTCAGCATTTTATAAATATTTGTGTTGGAGGTTTGCATTGGCTCAGAGTTCCCATATCATGTGTCACTGGTGTGGCCAGTACTAGCACACTAGAAATTGCATAGATCATAAGAAAAGCATATTTAGTCCTGTTTAATTTATATAATAAAATGTTTTATAAGAGTAACTATACTTTTTATTTTTTTTAAATGTGGCACTATTGGTGCATCAAACTTCAGAAAAATAAAATATTGTGATGTCTGTAAGGAAAATATGTTCCCATACCAAGTAATTGTTGCTTAATTTAACACTTTTGTTTTTATTTTATGTATTTTTCAGATTGGTATTGACCCTCCCAGGGGTGTGCTGATGTACGGTCCCCCTGGCTGTGGGAAGACTATGCTGGCCAAAGCTGTGGCTCATCACACTACAGGTAACTTACGCAGTCACTGACACCACTGCTTTTTAAGTATGGTTTTCACTTATTTTGAATTATTTGTATAATACTTTTTTTGCTTGTTTGATATTAATCCTGGAAAAAAGTGAGGAAAATAAATAAAATCATAGAAGATTATTTTTTTATAAGAGCATCAATGAGACTTTCTCATATTAAGATCATCTTTGGCACCTTCAGCGCAGAGAGATACATAACCACCTACATAGTCAGTCAAATTTAGCTGAGAGAGACAGAAATTTGAGGCTGTCCAGTCAGGATGTGCCTTACAATTTTGTCTTAACCCTCTATTGCACGATGTTGCCTCAGGGCAACAAACTCATTTTCCTCACTTTACAATAACATTATACATATTTAAAGACAACAATAGGATTAACAATAAAGGGAAGAATTTGGGTCAAGTCAATAAAAAGCATGAACTTGGTCATACAGTCTCTTAGTCATTTTTTTTGTTATGAGAATTTGCAGAAATATGTTTGTTGCCTAGAAGCAGCATTGTGCGACAGTGGAATGGATTTAGCCAGTCACAAGCCAGGACTCACCACTTCAGGGAACAGGGCTCTATAATCATTTTTCCCGTTGTCACATAATGCTCCAAAACAAGCCCTGCACACGTTTTTTTGCCAATGTTTTTGAATTTAATAATCAGGTCCAAAAAAAAACGATCAAGGAACATTTTATGCAAGAAAAGTGCCTTGAGTATTTTTTTTATTGCTCTCATTGAGGGTTGATTGGCTCAGTGTTGTGTTGAGTGTCATAGTTTGTGTTTAATGTTGCGTATTTTCTCCTCTGTTCTCAGCGGCCTTTATCCGTGTGGTGGGCTCAGAGTTTGTCCAGAAGTATCTCGGTGAAGGCCCCCGCATGGTGCGTGACGTATTCAGATTGGCCAAAGAGAACGCTCCGGCCATCATCTTCATCGACGAGATCGATGCCATCGCTACCAAGCGTTTTGATGCACAGACTGGAGGTACCACTTTTTATTTATTCAGCAGACATTTGCCCATAAAATGCATTCATGGCCATATTTATGTGCGGCCACTCATGCATTTTTTTTATATCATTTTATTTATGGCAGAATCTGAATTTATTTATTTATTTATTTATTTATTTATTTTTTATTATTATTTTTTTAATACCACAGTTCCACTCTGTGTGAGCGAAATGAACAATGAAACAGACCAAAACATTTCTATAACTTCCTATCAGCCCAAAGTCACAATATATGCAACATTATTTACTCTTTAATAGTGGAAATTCACTTTTAAATAACATAATTCAAATAAAGTGCGACATCGAAGGTAAGAGGCGACAGGCTATTTAACACAGTGAGTCATGCATTCTTTAAATACAGTGCCAGTGCGCTTACCTGCTTTGCGTTGTTCACCTCCAATGCAACACTGACTGGCCAGAATCAAAGTAAGAAGTTGGCCGATTGCTGTTTGTGTGTTTAGAGCAGAAATCTGTCAATTCTGATATTGGCAAATTATAGACGTGCACCCCTAATACTTATTGGAGTGATAATTCATCAAAAAATCACTTTTCAACAATTTTCCCTCCCCAAATGTAGTCGATCAGCCCAGTAATCTCAAGAAGACTTGATTGTGTGTAGTGTGTTCTTTCATGTCTTAAACGCTGAATAAAAGCATCCACTATAAATGGCCTGAAAGCACTTGTACGTTTATCATCAGAAGATTTTCTCTGACCGAAACATAATTGGATTTATTCAATCATTTTCTATTTTTCCCTCCAGCTGACCGAGAGGTGCAGAGGATCCTCCTTGAGCTGCTGAACCAGATGGACGGTTTCGATCAGAATGTGAATGTGAAGGTAGGTTTGGACTGATCGTCGTTATTGCCAAATATAGTGATTATTGAATCAGTATTTTATTACGCATATGTTGGGGAAGCAGAGTCAAAAAGACAGTTCTGCCTGTTGGAATAGGGAGTTTTATGGACGCTCGAGTACTTGATTAATCACACCAGACACGATTACTGCCAGACCTGTTGTAACATCACTTAAATAGAACCTGTCTGGCAATGTGAATCAGCAAGAAGGTCTTAAAAAGCATTACATGATGCCACAGTCTAAAGAGATTCAGGTACAGATGTGAAACAAAGTCTTTAAAATCTACCAGTGTGGAAAGGTTTACAAAGCCGTTGCTGAGGCTTTGGGACTCCAGAGAACCACAGTGAGAGCCATTATCCACAAACTTGAATCAGTGGTGAACTTTCCCAGGAGTGGCCGGCCTACCAAAGTTTCACCAAGAGCACATCAGCAACTCACCCAGGAGGTCACAAACAAACCCAGACGAATATCTGAAGAACTGCAGGTCTCACTTGCTTCAGTTAAGGTCAATGTACATGATTCCATAATAAAAAAAAAAGGCACTGGGCAAAAATGGCATCCATGGGAGAGCTGCAAGGCGCAAATCACTCCTGACCAAAAAAACACAAAGGCTTGTCTCGCATTTGCTGAAACCTCTAGATGACCCCAAGACTTTTGGGATAATATTCTGTGTTCTGATGAGTCAAAGGTGGAACTTTTTGGAAGACATGGGTCCTGTTACATCTGGTGTAAAGCTAACACCACATTACACTATAAGAACATTATACCAACAGTGAAACATGGTGGTGGTGGTGGTGTGATGGTCTGGGGCTGCTTTGCTTGGACGCCATGACTGATGGAGCCATGAATTCGGCTCTCTGTCAGGAAATCCTGAAGGAGAATGTCCATCCATCAGTTTGTGACCTAAAGCTCAAGTGCAGTTGGTTTATGCAGCAGGACAAAGATCTGAAGCACAGAAGCAAGTTCACCTCTGAACAACTCAAAAGAAACAAAATTAAGGTTTTTGAGTGGCCCAATAAAAAGTCCTGACTTGATTTTGTGGTTGCTTCTGTCATCTTTATCTTATATTAAAATTAGTTGGATGATGTGAAATTTAAATATGACAAAGTAGTAAAAATAGAAGAAATTAGGTGAACATGTTGGCGCTTCGTCCTCTGAGGAGAAAACTTTAATATAGCTTTTATTAAAATAGCTAATAATAGCAAAGCCTGATGCTTTTATTAAACGAAACAGTAAAAAAAATTATCAGTATTGACAGTTTCTTCCACCAAGAAAGTAGTTCCAGTGGCTTTGGGTAAGGCGACTGTTGTGCTCAGCACCGATGGTCGGCGGAGTGATACAGGATTGGTAATGCTGTGGTCACGTGTAACAGTACTTTACAACCTGATTGTGTGGTCAGATCTGTTGTATTATACCCAATAAGGCATCACAGATATAATGAAACAGTGTAGATTCTGACCGTCTCAGAATGAATTAGTTTAGAAGCGCTAGAATCTACCAGCTGATCTCATTAACACTTTTAATGAGTACGGCGAACAACAACCACCTTGAGTTGTCCTTCGTCCCCAGGTAATACTAAAGGAGCTAATTAGGTTGTGTGATTTGGGTCAGTGTAATGCAGCACAGACTGCACTAAAAAAAGCTTTCATTATGAATTAACCAGGTCCTGTGAGCTTCGCTCAGAGTTGTATAAAGAAAGTAGTTTTCTCTTAATGGTGAGCGCGTAGTCCAGGTTTAATCAATAAATCTTTTGTTGGATGTTTACTTTTATAGTTTTGTTTACATTTTGAGGGCTTTGCAACTTCATTGCAAATAATAGAATCTCAGTTTGGGATTAGAAATATTACATTTTATTGTTATTGTAATATGTTGCGCCACAATACGCTTTTCTGAGCATATTGCAGACAACGTCGGAGTTTGAACACTGACCGACTGCATGTTTTGTCACAAGGAGAGCATAATTAGTCCTGTTTAATCGTATTTGATTCAGCACAGCGTTTGAAACATTGAACAAAAATCTCTCATTAGTCCTAGTTTCTCTTAGTGTTTTTAAAACGTGGCGCTGCTGCTTCTGTTTTTCTCAGGAAAAACAAATTGTAATATTTCTGCCTCAGAAAACTGTCTGAGCAGACGGTGTGTATTATGCTTCAGGCAGCCTGTGTAAGGTATCGGATTACGGAGGTAAACTTGCATTCAGACGGGAGTAACTGTGGTAACCATGGTTATAGGTGTTGGTGACTAACACAACTGTCCAAACACTACAAGTTAGAACAGCCAACACACTGCAGAATGCTGCTCTTCAAAGTGCGGTAAAAATGATCTTTCGCATTTCTTTTTATTAAAGCTGTACATTAGTCATTTTCCCACATCTAAGGATTTTTTGTTTTTGTTTTTGCTACATTGCTCACTCGTAGTCAGCCAGGCACCACTGAAGTAGTTCAGGTGGGCAGGGCTTTGGAAAGGAGTGGCCGATGAGAAATATGCTCTAAATCTGAGAAATGACCGAGATTGGTTTTTATTTGTTGTGAGTACATTCATGCAGGAGCTTATAGCTAAAAGCATAAAGAGGTTAACAAAGTTAACAGCACTTTTAAAAGTGGTGCTTTAAACCATTGTGTGGAACGACAGACAGACAGACAGACGACCACTTTATTAATCCCAGAGGGAAAGTCGTCTATTACAGCAGCAAAAGTTCAGTAAAGAGCAAAACGAGCAAAAGTATTGCTGTACACTATTAGACAGATGCATAAATACAAGACGTAAAGATATATAATAAAATATACTAAATCAACCATAAAATATGATGTGCAGTACCAAAAAAAAAAGTGTAGTATATGCAGGTGACAATGCAGTGGTGCGTGTCACATCCAGTGAATGAACCGAGTGACTAAACACTGTAAACAATAACATATGTTAATAGTTGTATATACATGAGTGTATAAACAAAGTGGCAGTGCATAGTAAAGAGTAGAGGTATATAGTGTCGGGTTTGTAGCTCCTGACAAAATTTTTAAAAATTGTCATATTCTTCTGTTGCCTCCACTTCCAATCTACCAATATGCCAACCTGAGCTGTCAGAAAAATTATTGAAATATTTCTACTGAAATTATAATGTCTTAATTTTTTCTCTGCAGGTCATCATGGCCACTAACAGGGCAGATACCCTGGACCCCGCTCTGCTGCGTCCCGGCCGGCTGGACCGAAAGATCGAGTTCCCCCTGCCGGACCGCAGGCAGAAACGACTCATCTTCTCCACCATCACCAGCAAGATGAACCTGTCTGAGGAGGTGGACCTGGAGGACTGTATCCTCACCAGTGATCTCTAAACACTCTCTACAAGATAAAGCTGGATTCCTTTAAAGTGATACTTCGGCCAAATTTCCAGTTTCCCCCTCACTGCAAGAAACTATACACTTTAATTTGCATCACAGGCTGACATCGTTTATTAAAGCCGGTTCATGTTTTAGTTAATCAGAACGCAAAATGATTTTACTTTGTTAGGTAAAATCTTGTTACTGCTTATAATAAGCACAGTTTCATTGCATCATTTTAAAAGACTGATTTTTTTTTTTTAATTATTTATCTTCAAAATATAATGGCTTTTGCCCCGCCTCTAAAACGCCTTCTGATTTTATGACGTCACCAGGCACCAGTGGCTCTTTTCTCCACAGCATAATTAGATTTGTAGGTAAAAATCTAGATAAAAGGTAAAAAAAAGTAGGTAAAAAAATTCAACACAGTTTAACAATAAATGGTCTTAAACTCTGGAGTTAATGTAGAACTGCTAATTCACCCTTTAACCCTGAAGATCAGCGCAGACTGCTGGTCATCATAGCAACACAGACAACAATCTCGCCTAGCTAGTATCTAACGAAACGGCAAAGAGAGAGATTTAAGACGAACATCGATAATTTGGAGACGAATGGACTGATTAGTGTTTATAATCACTCCAGCTGGTTTCCTGATACGTTTAATCTCAACGAGAAACTGACAAACACTAAAAAGTCGTGAGGCTGAAGTCAGTTTCTCATTCGAATTCTTCCGTTCCACCTTAAATGGTGCAGCAGTTTCATTCTGGCACCTCAGGCACCATTTAAGGTGGGACGGGAAAATTCTAACATGAAGCTGGAGAACGAGAAGCGACTTCAGCCTCGTAAAAAGTCAACAATTTACAAGAAACTGTTCTACTTTTGAGGAAAAGTTTCCTGCTGGAGATGTGAGAAAAGCAGCTATATCTGAGCTGAAGCTTAAAGCAGAGCAAAGAAGGTCTGCATTTTCGTGTATATTATATTTTTTAGCCTATACTAGCACATCACAGTGGTGCTGATGGGAAGCCAACACAGATATATTGTACGTTTAATGTGTGTTTGTGTGTGGTCTGTTGTCCTTAACCCGTCTGCGCAGACGTTGCCAGGCCGGACAAGATTTCTGGAGCGGATATTAACTCCATATGCCAAGAGGTGAGTCGCAGAAACTAAAGCAGCTCTTTTTACTGACTTAATGCCCGTCAGAGGGAGCTGCTCCAGGACAAGCTCTGTGTTCTGTTTTTAAAGATCCATGATATTATTAGTCATATCAGTATCAGCAGATCCTTTAAGGCAAGGCAAGTTTGTTTATATAGCATCTTTCACACACTGCTGTCATATAAAGTGCCTTACAAAGGAGAAAATACAGTCATTTACAAAATGACTATTTAAAGGACAATAGAAATTAAAAACATAATAAACAATAAAATGATAATCAATACATTAAAATTTAAATTAGAAGATTAAGAAATGTAAGAATATTTGCAAAATTATCTGCATCAGATGTTTCAGTTCGATATTTCAAACTGATATCTGTCGATGTGTTTATTGAACTCCAGAAAAGCAGAATGTTGATTTTGCTGCATTTATACTCCTACAGAAATACATTCTCTCTCAGGACAAAACCTCACATGGCCAAAACAGTCACTTTACAGGAGAAGGAAAAATCCTTACGTCATGTTAACTTTGAGTTTACATTATTAATGTGTTTCTAAGTCAGTTTGAACCGTTTCTGCTGGTCTGCTCATCATGAAATTTGAACACAATGTAAAAAGTAACTGGATTTTTCAAATTATACAAAAAAAAGTTAAAAAAAAAAATGGAGATGCAGGGTTTTGCGTGACAGTGTTACTTTTCTCTGTAAAGCTAATCCGGATGGATGTAGATTTCTGTGTTTTTCATAAATGAATGTAACTGAGCATCAGGATCCTGTTCATATTTCACTGCTGTCCAGTTACATTTGTGTATTCAGTACATTTTTTTTTTTTTTTAAATAATGTTTGAATCGTGCTAAAATGTTCAGATTCAGATTAAGATGTTTGATCAGGTCTTGAATCCTTTTCTTAAAAAAATTAAAAAATAAAAAGAATTGTAGTCAAAATGAGTCGGCAGCTACGTTTTTTTTTCCCCCAAAAGTCTTGTGGGGTTTTTTTGTTTTGTTTTTCATTAAATTGTTTTACCTTCAAAATGTTGGTTGTTGTAGGCTGTGGAAACGTAAATTGTCGGTTATAGTTTATGAGATGTTGACAGTTTTTTTCTGTTCAACTTTAGCAGATAAACTTTTGACATCTGAAATGTTGTGAAAACCTACAGTGGAAAAGTAGCACATTTACACACAAAGATAATAAGAATAACAACAATATTTAAAAGCAGTAAACAGAATGACCTTGTGGGGAAGCCAGAGGTACACAAGCAGCGACTAACATGAAATTAGAAATAGATATGTCATTTTAATCAATAAACTAAAACTGGGTTTTGCAGGAATTTTTTTGTTTGTTTTTTTTGTTTGTTTTGTTTTTGTTTTTGTTTTTTTTTTATTATAAATGATTATAAATTTAAATTTTTTCCCTTGCAATTTGCTCAGAAAGCCGATGGAAACGTAGCTACTGTGAGATTTACAGCCCTGATTCTTAATATTCATTAAGCTTAGTTTCTTTTTTCTTTCCTAATGTTTTCCACCGTCTCCTCATGTTGTGTTTTCAGGCTGGGATGCTGGCTGTGCGTGAAAACCGCTACATTGTTCTGGCCAAGGATTTTGAGAAGGCCTATAAAACGGTCATCAAGAAGGACGAGCAGGAGCACGAATTCTACAAGTAGAGAAATCCCTCCCTGTATATCAGCATCAGCCTGATTCCTTTGTTCCATTTGATTTTTCTCATTTTCAGCGTTTATTTGTACGTACAGTATGTTGTTGGTCTAGGAGGCTGCGCTCGAGTCTCTGGGCTTCAGTAAAGGGACTCACTGCGCAGGTGTTCATGTAAACAAATATACACACACACACACACACTTCTGCAAGAAAAGGACGTTTTATGTATTCAGTTTAATGCAATTGTACACAGCAAAGAGAACCAATAAAATGTTTTCCATAAAACCAACAAGCTTTCGGCTTCCTTCATTAATTATCCTCATAATTAAACGAGAATTCCACTGATTTTTTTTATTTTTATTTATGCATAATTCAGTGATTTGAGGTGTAAACAAAGTCATTCAGAGTTGTTTGATGTGAAATTTACTATCCAAAACCACCAGTGAACCTACATTAGGCTTCTCATATTGATGGTAAAAAGTGATAAAATTATATTTTAGCTTCTCCAATCTGTCATAAAACAGTGTCTCAGTCATCAGGCAGTGAATTCATAACCATTTCATGTAGTAACTTTCTGTGAGGAGCTTTTAGAGGTGGATGTCTGGTTCCTATCACCACCACTGTGAACAGTTCTGACTCAGTAAGTTTATCTAGAACAGAGCGTTTCACACCAAACCACTCTGAATGACTCTGTTTACATTCTAACCAGTTAATTATGCAGGAATTTTGAAAAATCTGTGGAATTCCCCTTCAGATGTGCTGGGATATCAGTTTTAATTTAGTTGCTGGAATCAGAACAAGTCATTATAGATGTTTTGAGAGATAATTATGACAAATTAAATTTGGACAATCAATAAAGACTTTTATTTTGGTAATTTAAGTAAAAGCAGATTAAAGGGATGTTCAGTCTAGATAAGAAATATTACTGTGAAATTAGTCCGAGCTTTAATCTCCGATACTGGTCATCTGACAGCACTATGGAGTTGCTGACCGCTGGCAGCTCCTCTGTACTGTGCTAGTCTGGACGAGCGAAGGCCGCTGAAGTGATGGGCAGTGGGAAAGAAAAGCTGACCGTTTCTCTCCATCACTCTCTCCTTCTCTTTTTCCAGATCAGCCCAGGAGTTAAAGCAGCTCAGCCTCAGGTTGTAGTACCACCTTCAACCATAAGAGGGAGTACAGTGATTTATAATATAAATATAATCTGTTACTAGACATTTAAACTGGTTACATTTCTTCTCTTTGATGTTGCACATAAGGGTTAAAGCAGCTTAGCCTCAGGTTGTAGTACTGCCTTCAACCACAAGATGGCGTGCAGTGATTATAAAAGATATAGTTTCTATTGTAATAGACGAAATACAGAGGTTATAATTGTTTTTTTGACGTCTGCCCGAGAATTAACGTTTCCTAGCTTTGGATTGTAGTATTGCATTTAATAAAGGGGTTATAACAAATAGTAGTTTTATTTATTTATTTGCCGTTTATCTGCAGCCCAGCTTGGGTAGATGTTAGCCAGTTAGCTAGGTTAGCTATCCAACTGAGCCATCTAGCTAAAGTGTTGGTGAGGTAGCTGACATAAAGCTTTATATATAAATTCTCTGAAACAATTTATTTGCGCTAACAATTTTTTTTGTTTCAAACGTCAGCAACTCCACAGTGCTGTCAGCTGACCAGTATCGGAGATTAAAGCTCCAGCAAAACACGTTTGTAGTGTTGCTTCATCAGTTTAAATGCACTAAAACATGAAAAACAGTCTGACTGATTTCACAGTAATATTTCTTATCTACACTGAACATCCCTTTAATCTGTTTTTACTTAAATTACCAAAATAAAAGTCTTTATTGATTGTCCACATTTAATTTGTCATAATTATCTCTCAAAACATCTATAATGTCTGATTCCAGCAACTAAATTAAAACTGATATCCCAGCACATTTGAAGGGGAATTCCACAGATTTTTCAAAATTCTTGCATAATTAACTGGTTAGAATGTAAACAGAGTCATTCAGAGTGGTTTGGTGTGAAACGCTCTGTTCTAGATAAACTTACCGAGTCAGAACTGTTCACAGTGGTGGTGATAGGAACCAGACGTCCACCTCTAAAAGCTCCCTCACAGAAAGTTCCTACATGAAATGGTTATGAATTCACTGCCTGATGACTGAGACACTGTTTTATGATAGTTTAGAGAAGCTAAAATATAATTATCACTTTTTTACCATCAATATCAGAAGCCTAATGTAGGTTCACTGGTGGTTTTGGATAGTAAATAATCAATAAACTAAAACTGAGTTTTGCAGGAAATGTTTTTTTTTTGGTTATAAATGAATTTACATTTTTTTCTCTTGCAATTTGCAACTATCCCTTTAATCTGTTTTTACTCTTTATCCCTTTAATCTGTTTTTACTCTTTATCCCTTTAATCTGTTTTTAATCTTTATCCCTTTAATCTGTTTTTACTCTTTATCCCTTTAATCTGTTTTTACTATTTTATCCCTTTAATCTGTTTTACTATTTATCCCTTTAATCTGTTTTTACTCTTTATCCCTTTAATCTGTTTTTACTCTTTTATCCCTTTAATCTGTTTTTACTCTTTATCCCTTTAATCTGTTTTTACTCTTTTATCCCTTTAATCTGTTTTTACTCTTTTATCCCTTTAATCTGTTTTTAATCTTTATCCCTTTAATCTGTTTTTACTCTTTATCCCTTTAATCTGTTTTTACTCTTTATCCCTTAATCTGTTTTTACTCTTTTATCCCTTTAATCTGTTTTTACTATTTATCCCTTTAATCTGTTTTTACCCATTTCGTTTAACATTAACCCATTCATTCTGAATAAACAGCTAACTTACACTAACCATTTTGCCGTCTTATGGACCCAAAGCCCAAACCTTAACGCTTTCATTCAGCTAATGGTAACGTGAGCTCCATCACCCACACTTCAGCGAGCTAACAGGCTGCTGTTTTTTAAAGTAACTACAGGACTAAAACAACTCAACAAACTCCAAACTTTTCAACAACTTTTAAAGTTTTACTTCTGAAACCTTTACCACGTTTCCACTGTGCATCAATGTGTTGGTCAACTAGCTAATATACCAAAGTTAGTTATCCAGCTGAAGCGTTGGTGAGGCAGCTGACGTTAAACGTTTGAAACAAAACAAATTGTTAGTGCAAATAAATTGTTTCAGAGAATTTGTACATGAAGCTTGTTGTGTGTGTTAGCTAGCTGATTTTATAGAAAATGTTGTTGCTGACGCTGAGCTGGATTAAAATTATTTACTAATCTAATTTACAAAGTGTAACTAAAGAAAGGAAGGAAGGAGAAATCAGTAAACTGGACTGAGTGGAAAATGAGCGATGATAAGTGGACTTTTGTCTAATACTCCGCTTAACCGCCAGTGGACCACCCGGAAGATGCTGAGCAAAATACCGGTGGACCACCAGCTTTGCCATTAGCGGGCTGACAGTGGACCACTGTCCTCTTGCTATCAGGGTTGTAATGAGCGAGAAATGATGTTTACCTGCTTTTTATGCTGGAGATGCTCTCATCATCAAAAGTAAGTCAAAATATAACCACATATAATACAGGCATGAAGCACATGTTGATGTAGGTTGTAAACAAGTGTTTACACACAATAGCAAACTCTTTTATTTCAAAAACAGTGAGAAAATGTGTTTTTCTGTGATCTGGGCCCTTTAAAGCAGCCTCGGAATGCAGTACCGCCAGTATCCACAAGAGGGTGTTTATGAGGGTTGTGCTGGTGCGTGCATGAGGGTTTTGTTATTGCCTTTTGTGTGGTTGTCAGCACTTCTCAGGTGCAAAATCAGCAGAACGTAGCCAGTTCTACTGGTTCTACCACTGTGATATAGCATATTATATCACACTAAAACATCTCTGAAATGTACACTCCTGAGGTTCTTTAGCAAAGAACACTGAGAACCATGGAGATACAGATTTATGTAGAAACATTTCAAGCTCAAACTTTTTTGTGGAATGGTTCTTCAGATCGATGGAGAATGTGTTGTATATGGTTCTATGTAGCACCAAAAAGGGTTCTTCTATTGTTGCAAGCTTAACATTGTCACAATTAAAGAACGCTTTTTGGTGCTACATAGAACATTTTCAAAAAGGTTCTATACAGAACCATATACAACACATTCTCTGTAATTGTAAAGAACTGTTTCACCATGGAAAGAACTGTTTAAGCACGAAATGGTCCTAGATAGAAGTGGTTTTACTAAAGAACCCTTGAAGACTGGGGTCATTCTATAGAAACGTCCATTTTTGTGTCCCTAGCGTTTACAGATATATTACACTTAAAAACATGTTAGAATTACAATTTATTCATATTTTATAATAAAGCAATAAGTTATTTTAACAGTTACACCTTATCAAGCCTCAATTTAGCAATATTAGTTTTTAAATCAATTATCTAGAATTCCAATCACCACAGAAGAGCTCGTCCTCACAGTCGTGTGTGAAGGCTGAGGCCATATTTTGAAGTAAAAAACATGTTTTTCTGCTATTTTAACTGCAATAATCTGTACATGACTATGAAATATATCATTTAAATGACAAAGAAAACAAACACCAAATAAATATTATAAAATATATAATGAAAGTTGTGCCCAGGAGTCGTGTCACTGGTGTTACTGCATAACAAAAAAATCTCTTATTTTGATGACATCACTTGACTTCTTTTACCTGTTTTCTGAGGATCTATGAAGAAAAGCTCATGGTGAGTCCACTGTGTCTTTCAGTTATCAGAGATTTTCTCATTTAGTTCATGATTTCATATGAAGCTTTTAGCTGAAGTCACTGGTGTGACCGACTTTATTCTGAGGTAACTGTGAAAAATAGAATACAAATGGATTCAATTCCATATTTTAGTGGATGTTCCATGATTGACAACATGTGGTTTGATGCTCTGTAGCAGTTATTTTGTAAAATGCATTTTATATTAAAATGTCTCTGGTGTTCCTTTATTATGTGTAACACCAGTGAGGATCAGTAACACCAGTGACTCCTATGGAGAGATAGAACAGTGGACGTTTCTGTAGAATGACCCACTGATGTTTGTCATTGATTTGTCACTTTTCCCACCTGTTCCTACACGGTTTTCCGCGAGGCAGGTGGGTGATGACCGGATCAAAGTAGTTGCTGTAGAGGGTCCTGGTGGCAGCGTCGCCAGACCGAGACAGCTGAGCGAAAATGGTCCATAACTCAAAGCTGTGTGGCCGTTTACAGGCTGGATAGAGAACCCGCCACAGAGCTTTCACCAAAGCATACAGCTTAAGCTGGGGCTTCCAAGGCTGGAGCAGAGGAGCGTGTGAAGACGTCCTGGCAAACATGCTGAAAAACAAACAAACAAAGGAAACATAAACAGGACTGTGCAAAAGGGGCTCCTGACAACCACCTGGAAGACCTGGTCGACCCCAAAACTGCCCCCATCAGATAAACAGCTCTTAAAGCTTTCATCTCTGAGAGAGAGGAGAAAATCAAGCTGCTTCAGATCTGAAAACATCCACAGGTGTTTCTGTCCATCCTTCCACTGTGAGAAGACGACTCAGCGCTGTGGGTCTGAAAGGATGTGTAGCTGATCAAGAAGAACCTCACTGAGAAAAGGAGACGGACACATCAAACAAAGAAGCTGAACGATGGACTGACCACCCCAGAGTCCAGACCTCAACACCACTGAATGTGTTAAATGCTAAACCAGCTTCTAAGACTGAACTTTGGAGGTGTGTCTGCAGATTCTTTGAGGAACTGAAAGTGAGTCTCCTGAAAAGAATGGAAACTGGAATAAAGGAGAGGAGTGACTCACTGAACACTCAGACAGCCGAGAGTAGAGTTAGCTGACAGGATTCTGGGTAATTTTCTGTTAAATGTGTTTTCTGATTTTATTTCTGATGCTGAAAAATTAATAAGTACTATATACATGCGTGTACATTATATAATCATGTGTATATATATATCTTATATATATATATATATATTATTATATAGTTGCTGTTGCAAAAAAACCTAATATTTCAGTTTATGTTGTTTATATATATATATATATATATATATATATATATATATATATACATACATATATATGTACTGAATGGGGTCAGATAAACATAGATTTATATACACACACACACTGTCATTGGAATAGATGAGTTATTAATTATGTATTGATAAGTTGGTTTGGTCACTCCAGTCATTACTAATAAGGAGCTGCGGCTTCGTCTTAGCAGTGGTTCTGATCTGTTCTAGCTCCCAGCCTGTCGGTCAGAAAGAACTGTTCCTCTGTTCGTCTGAGATCTCATACCTGCCCACGGTGACCTGCAGCTGAGAGCGGAGTGAACAGTCGCCTGTTTACATTCGAGTTCAGACCGCAGGGCGAGTTCTGGAGCCGCAGCTGTGACTGACAGAGTCTATATGAACACACACACACACACACACACACACACACACACTCACACACACTCTCTCTCACACTCACACACACACACACACACTCTCTCTCACACTCACACACACACACACACACACAGCGCTGACAGCGCGGCGATGTCCAAACACACACTTTGCAGATTTGATCTTCAACAAACGAACCAAGTAAATCTGATAAAGTTGCTCTTATAACCAAACAATACAGAGATAAGAACTGTAGTTAAAACAAGTTCAAAGTACATCACTTCCTGCGTGTTCAGACCCTCCGGAGCGTGATTCCTGATCTGTTTTATTTTTTAGAGATTCGATTCAGTTCAGCTCGAATCAGAGAGGGGGGGGGGATAGAGAGAGGGGGAGATAGAGAGAGGGGGAGAGAGAGAGAGAGAGACGTTCAATAAATATGTAACGTATGTTGTCTTTCATTATTTATGTTATGTAATGCGTTTTCTTTATTTACTTCATGTATTTGTTTTTGTCATTGTTGTTGTTTCAACTGGATTATTATAAATTCTGTAATCGCTATCAGCTCTTCAAAATATGTTCAGCTTTGAAGTTTATATGAGATTATTATTTCAATGACCATTATCATTGTTACTATTAATTCTATATTTGTTTTTTAGTTCTACAAAATATGTTCCGCTTTGAGTTGAATTTTATATGCTTTGGCAACATTGTACTCAAAACAGTCCTGCCAATAAAGCTACTTTGAATTGAAAAAATTGAAAATTGAGAGAGAGAGAGAGAGAGAGAGAGAGAGAGAGAGAGAGAGGGAGGGAGAGAGAGAGAGAGGGCGGGGGGAGAAAGGCAAGAGAAAAAGAGAAAGGAGTGAGAGAGTGGAGAAGAGAAAGAACGAGAAAAAAGAGAAAGGAGTGAGAGAGTGGAGAAATGAGGAGAGAAAGGAGTGAGAGAGTGGAGAAATGGAGAAAGAGTGAGAGAGTGAAGAAAAAGAGGAGAGAGAGAGAGAGAGAGCGAGAGAGAGAGAGAGAGAGGAGAAAAGGGGAGAGAGAGAGAGAGCGAGAGAGAGTGGAGAAAAGGGGGGGGAGAGAGAGAGTGGAGAAAAGCGGAGAGAGAGAATGAGAAAGTGGAGAAAAAGGGAAGAGAGAGAGTGAAGAAAAGGGGGAGAGAGAGAGTGAGAGAGTGCAGAAAAAGGGGGGGAGAGAGAGAGTGGAGAAAGGGGAGAGAGAGAGTTTAGAACAAGGGGAGAGAGAGAGAGTAAGAGTGCAGAAAAAGGGGGGGAGAGAGTGAGAGAGTGAAAAGGAGAGGCAGAGTTATCAGAATCGGTTTGACGATCCGAACCAGCGCTCGTGTTCATCAAAGTGGGCGGAGCGAGTCAGTTCAGTGACTCGGCTCACTTCAAAGACTCATTCATAAAGATCCGAGCAGTTATAACTGCACATCATTGAGTCTCTGAACTCCGGCGCACAGATGAGGATTCAGAAGGAGGAAAATTCATCCGTTTCTTCTGAATCACCGAACAAATAACCTGGAAATTAAGTGGTGAGCTTGGATAACGGAGCTTCTATACTGTGAACCTTCGTTTTGTTTGTGTTTTGCGTTAACAGCCTTAAAACGAGTGTTTCGAGAGGACTGTTAGCTTTTCTCTGCTAGCTATCCTGCTAACGGTAGTAGTAGCCTGGGAAATGTCGCAGAGCGCTGCTGATTTTTCTGTGATTTACAGCCGTTTTGTGGTTAAAACTCACCGAGTTGAAGGTTTATATGTCCTTAAAATGTATTTTGGGAATTTCTTATAGAATATAAGTCATATAGTGAGTCGTTTTTTGGTGTTTGGTCTCGAAACTCAAGCTCGCGACGAAACTGAAGTCAGCTTCCCATTCGAATTTTGCCGTTCCACCTTAAACAGTGCAGCAGTTACGGTCTGGCGCCTCAGCCGCCTGAATGCAACTGCTGCACCATTTAAGGTGGAACGGCAAAATTGTGAAACCAACTTTAGCTTCATGAGTTTGTGTGTGCGTACTGTTTTTAATCTGGTTATTTTACCCCCTGAATCCGCCTACATTGTTCTGGAAAGTGATGTGATTGTAAAATAAGGCGCTATTTGGTCAAATTTGTATGTTGTTTTCAGTATTTTGGGCGTTATTTTTAAAAATAGAGCTCACAAACACGAGCTACTCCTGTGGGAGTAGTTAAGCTCCACCAACAGTGAGTATCCTACAGAGACATGTGCTAGTTACACCTCTGTGTCTCAGGAACAGCTGACTACTTTGACGGCACACACTTAAAAAAGAAGGTTCTTTAGTAAAGGGAATGGTTCTATTTAGAACCATGAGTTCTATATAGAACCATATACATACTTAAATGCTTCTTTGATGGTGAAATAGTTCTTCAGACTGGTGAATGTGTTGTATATGGTTCTGTACAGTACGCTCTTAAAAAAGATGGTTCGTCAATGGTTCTTTAGTAAAGAAAATGGTTCTATATGGAGCTGTGGACACTCAAAGAACTCTTTGCATGATTAAATGGTTCTTCTCATCTTCAAAAAGTGTCTATATAGAACCATCTACATTGTTCAGCAATCTGAAGAACCATTTCATGATGCAAAGAACACTTTATTCTTGCAAAGAGTTCTTGGTTCTATATAGGACAGTTTTCTTTACTAATGAACACTTGAAGCATATTTTTAACAGTGTACCAAACAGGGTTCTTCTACTTTTACAAGCTTGGTAAGCATGGTTCTGTATAGCACCAAAAAGGGTTCTGCTGCTATTGTTGTGATGCCAAGCTTGTAACAATAGGAGAACCCTTTTTCTCCATCAATCTGAAGAACCATTTCACTAAACAGAGAACCATTTAAGCATTTATTTGGTTTTACACGTGCTTAAAGATGTTTCTTCAAGGGTTCTTTAGTAAAGGCAGTGGCTCTGTTTGGAACCATGAGTTCTATATAGAACGATATATGTACCATGTTTTTTTTTTTGCCTGGTGAAATGGTTCTTCAGACTGATGGAGAATGTATTGTATGTGGTTCTGTACAGCACCACAAAAGGTTCTCCTATTCTTAGTCAATTGGAAGAACCATTTTATCATGTATGTTGTTCTACAAATGCTTAAAGATGGTTCTTTAGATGGCAGTGGCTCTGTTTGGAACCATGAGTTCTATATAGAACCGTTTTATGCATAAATGGTTCTTTGCATGGTGAAATGGTTCCTTAGATTGATGGAGAATGTGTTGTATGCGGTTCTATACAGCACGAAAAAGGGTTCTGCTATTCATGTCATGCTTGTAACAATAGAAGAACCATTTTTGGTGCTATATAGAACTATTTACAGCACATTCTCCATTAATTTAAAGAACAATACAGGGATAAACTGGTTTTGTAGAGAACTCGTGGTTATAAACAGAACTGTTGCCTTTACTAAAGAACCCTTGAAGAACCTTTTTTGAGTATGCTACATGGAAAAAATGGGACCATAACTTTATATTTTCATCTTAATGACTTTTAATACATCAAAATGTTCAAATAAATCAGTGAAATGGTGCCAACAAAACTGTGCAAGTGAAAAAAGCATAACAATTAAAGAACAGTGATTTAATAAAAGTACAAATGTAAAACCATTAAAAAACTAAATGATTTATTCAAAATTTCAGCGTAATGAGATGTAAACAAAGTCATTCAGAGCGGTTTGATAAGGCTCAGTTTTCTTTACAGTGGTGGTGATAGGAACCAGGGGTCGCCATGACTACAACACAAATATAGACATTTTATTTACTATCCAGAACCACCAGTGAACCTACACGAGTCTTCTGAGTCTATATGGAATGTTGATGATGGAAAATAGTGGAAAATCTGAAATAATCAGTTTTCTTTGGGGACTATTTTGCCTCACAGCGCCCTGCATGTATCCCTCCACCATGAATGGAGTTTAAGTTCTCTAAACTATCATAAAACAGAGTCTCAGTCATCAGGCAGTGAATTCATAACCATTTCATGTAGGAACTTTCTGTGAGGGAGCTTTTAGAGGTGGACGTCTGGTTCCTATCAGCACCACTGTGAACAGTTCTGACTCTGAGTTTTAATAGTGATTATGATTGATTAAAAAACTTTGTGTTGACTTGAATAAGTTTGTTTTCATGATTTTAATACAAAAATAAATGTAATGAGCATTTTTAATGATGTAGAAGATGAAAATTGTGAAGAACAGCGTATTGAAATTAAACACAGCTGATCTGCCAAGAGCTGAAATGGTAACTCACAGTTAACGCTTGACGTTTTGCGTCTGTTTGATGGGGTTTTAAACGAGGCAGTTCAGGCTTTTGTATTGTTTAGAACTTTTAATTGTTTTGTTTTATAAGATCACTGTTTTGTACAAGGGCAGCCAATCAGAGCTGAGCTCAGAGAAGAGTTGCAGGGCCCATTTAAACTTAAGCCAAGCTGTTAAAAACGATGGTTCTTCAAGGGTTCTTTAGTAATGAAAATAGTTCTGTGTAGAACCATGAACACTCAAAGAACCCTTTGCATGATTACAAAGTTCTTCAGATTGATGGCGATTGTGCTCTACATGGTTCTATCTAGAAACCTTTTGAAAAGGGTTCTATATAGCACCAAAAAGGTTTCTTCTGTTGTTACAACACTTTTGAAAATGATGGCTATTCAAGGGTTCTTTAGTAAGAAAATGGTTCTGTATAGATCTGTGAACACTCACAGAACCCTTTGCATGGTGAAATGGTTCTTGAGCTTGATGGACAATGTATGGAATATGACTCTATATCGAATCTTTTTTGAAAAGGGTTCTGTATACCACCAAAAAGTGTTCTTCTGTTGTTGTGATACAGGCTTGTTACAATAGTAGAACCTTTTTGGTGCTTTACAGAAACCTTTTCAAAAAGGATCTATGTAGAACCATCTAGAGCACTTTGTACACTTATCTGAAAAAAAAAAATTATGATGCAAAGAACCTTTTAATCATGCAGAGGGTTCTTTGAGTCTTCATAGTTCCACATTGAACTATTTTCTTTACTAAAGAACCCTTGAATTTTTTTTTTTTTTTAAGAGTGAACTTTGACATCGTAACAATAGAATTACCATTTTTGATGCTATATGGAACCCTTTTCAAAAAGGTTGTATATAGAACCATATGCATGTCCTCCATCAGTCTGAAGAACCATTTCATCATGCAAAGAAACGTGTGTGTGTGTGTATACACACACACACACACACACACACACACACACACACACACATATATATATATACATACACACACACACACACACACACACACACACACGTGTGTGTGTGTATATATATATATATGTATGTGTCTTCATGTGTATGTACACACACGTGTGTGTGTGTATAGTTTGTGTATGTAGTATTATGTGTATATATAATGATTGTTTGCCTTTAATAATAAGCGGTGTTGTGTTGTGTCTTGTCTACTCTACAGTGTATAATCAGAGGTCTACGATTTCGTCCATAGACGATTTAAATCCTGACCTCAGATCTCAGGTCCTGTCAGACGGAGCGTTCGTGTGAGGTGCTGCGCAGTTTGACAGATAAATCAGAAAACGCAGCGTTTTTACGCTGTCGGCTCAGCTGTGTTTCTCCTCAGTGATCTTAGAGATCAGAGTGGAAGTCACTGTATTTTATTGAACAGGTGACTGAGTACAGATGTGTGTCGTGTGCAGATGTGTGTCGTGTGCAGATGTGTGTCGTGCACTTGTCTATCCAGTCGTGGTTTATACAGCACAGGCTGCTGTGTGTGAACTGCCCGCCGGTCAGTCGTGTGTCCTGCTGCAGTTTCACCCCCTGAAGCGTCCGCGTCGTCCCTCATTGTCCGTCTCCTCTCCAGCATGAACAGAAAACGTGTATCCATTCTTATTCACAGCGAAACTTCACTTTCCCCACGTTCAGCACAGGCAGGCAGACTGACCAGTTCGGTCAGAGATTAGCATTGAAATGGGCGAGAGGAGGGGGTGGAGAGAGAGAGAGAGAGAGAGAGAGAAAAAGAGCAAAGAGAAAAACTGGAAAAGAGAGAACAGAGAGAAATAAAAAAAAAAAGGAAGGAGAGAAAGTGAGGGGATAGAAAGAGAAAGAAAGGAAGGAGGAGGAGAGAGATTATAAATGGAAAAGGAGAAAGAAATAAAGCAAGTAGAGAGAGAGAGAGAGAAAGGAAAACGAGAGAGAGAGAAAGGAAAACGAGAGAGAGAGAAAGGAAAACGAGAGAGAGAGAGAGAAAGGAAAACGAGAGAGAGAGAGGGAGAGAATGGAAAACGAGAGAGAGAGAGAGAATGGAAAACGAGAGAGAGAGAGAATGGAAAACGAGAGAGAGAGGGAGGTGGAGTAGAGAGAAAAGAGAGACAGTAAGCAAGGAGAGAAAAGACTGGGAGACAGGAACAAATGGGGGGAGTTAAAGAGAAAGAAAGGAAGGAGAAAGAAAGACAGGAGAGAAAGAGGTGGAGTGCAGAGAGAAAGAAAAAGGGGAAAGGAGTGAGAGGAGAATGAAAGTAAGGAAAGGAGAAATAAAAAGGGGAGGCA